CTTTATTTACTAAAACACATAAAATTCGTACAAGTATGGCCACCTTGTACTGTTTTGTTCGCCGGTCGCCGGCGTATGAAATAGAAATAAAGCTAATTGAGTTCGCGGCGACCGACGAAATTTTCGCCGGTGCCGTGATTGTGTGCACTTCCATATACACATATGTGTTTTATTTTTGACGACGAACATACGCCGCGAAAAAATTCGTCGTTCGCTCCAATTGTGTTCCTAGCATAATGCGTGCGAACAATTGTTGTAATCGATAAACATAATTCGATTACATGGTATTATTATTTAAGAGGCCGGTCGGTCATTGCAAAAAAAGCATTTGTTTACAACGTTTTATGGCAAAAACGTTGCTATGTAGCAGAAATTAAATAAAAATAAATTACTCTCACTACTTAAAAATAACCATAAATAAAACGTAGTTTAGAAAATGACAACAAGAAATTTGGCAAGTTGTCCAATTTTTTTCCTTTGTCAAAAGACAAGAGAACAAATAGAAAAAAAAAAAACAATGAAATCCCGAAGAAATTTTTTGATGATATGGCGCTCTTTGGCCTATTGCAAAGACTGCCTGCCAACAATTAACTCCTTTTAAAGCTTTACACCATTACAAACGAAATGGTATAATAATCCCCACTTAAAATGTAAGTAAATAGTCTTTGAGGTCATCCACCCCCACTACACCACACCACATTGCATCTTAAGCTTTTACAGATGACAATACGTATCACGATAACGAACGGGAGGGTGAACTTACTCTGATACCAACCAACAAAAAGAAGACATCGTTCATTCGGTTAGGTAACACTAAATTGAGGTTAGAATATCTTTTATGCAAACACTTTTTTGCCTAAAAAAAATACAATTGCACAACACCACCGACCATATCACTGGATAAATAGCCATCGGAGGAAATATTTCCAGGAAACGCATTGCGTTTGACACAGTTTTTTGTTTATTTAGCTCATTATCAAATACTTTTTTAGATAATTGTCAGAGGGAGAGATCATAATCCGAAAAAAATTCTTTCACATAATCAATCACTTGAAATGTTATTTTTTAATTTTGCAAAAATTCATAACTGCTTGCACACCGCTTAGAGCATTTTATTTATGTTTATAATTCCGGCATTTAGCACAAGCTTACCTGCGTTTGGAGCAATCTTAGTGTGGCTGCCATTGTGTTACTTAGATTCACAATTTCAAACTATTTTTCGACAAATCTCAAAATTCTTCAGCCTTCTCAGCTGGAAGAATTCAATACTGACTGACGAGACTGAAAATTGTTGTGGGAAATTGAAAAAAGAGAATAAAATCGACGAAAAATGTTATCGGTCGTTTCGATAACAATTGAGAGATTTCCAAGAGAATCGATGTTTTCTCTCTCTCGTTTGATGGTATTATGTTGAAGCGGCTTGGCAATATGTCGAATTTGTGATTGAAAACATGAAAAAGTTTTCATACGAAGTTAATTTACTATTGCCATGGATATTCGAAAAAGTATTGTTCAGAATTACAAACATGGTTCACACAGCACAATTTGTCAGTGTAGTATGTTCATTTATTTTTTGTTAATAAAATGTGAACATAGGAGTTTTCTTGATTTACCATTTCTTGTTGAAACTAGTTAATGCTAGGAACACAATTGGAGCGAACGACGAATTTTTTCGCGGCGTATGTTCGTCGTCAAAAATAAAACACATATGTGTATATGGAAGTGCACACAATCACGGCACCGGCGAAAATTTCGTCGGTCGCCGCGAACTCAATTAGCTTTATTTCTATTTCATACGCCGGCGACCGGCGAACAAAACAGTACAAGGTGGCCATACTTGTACGAATTTTATGTGTTTTAGTAAATAAAGTTACTTTTTACTTTAAAATTTGTTATGGTCACTCTAATATCTGTTACTCGTATAAAAAAACATAATTAATTTGTTTATTTATTTGTGTACTTGCGCCTGAGTGAAGATGGATATCAGTGAATTTATAATAGAGAAGATGGACATAAGTGAAATTATAATAGAGAACGTAAAGAATTATGTGTTCTTGTATAATTCATTGTAGTCAACAAATGAGCAAAAAGTAAACAACTTCATCAGCTGTTTTATAATTTCGTCGGTATTGTGTTCCATACGACGAATTTTCGCGGCTCATTTTGTCGCCGCGTAGGGCGAAATTCGTCGTTCGCTCCAATTGTGTTCCTAGCATAAAGCGCAAAATATCAATCTCACTATGAGATAAGTATATTACCCAGAAAGGAAAAACTAGAAAAGCGTCAAAACCACACGATAATCTGTCAAATTCAACATATCAACTAATCAGAAGTTGACAACAACCTTTTTATTTTTACATAGCTCGGTTAGGTTAATGAGGCGCGTGGTTGCTTTAGGATGAGCGATCTGGCTCACTTCTCTTCTCGGAGATTATAGGCAAGACTTTCCTAGGGTGATTACATGCCCTTTCATCTAGCCAATTTTGTTGCAATCTCTCGGAGTAGTGTTTATACATAGTAGAATTAAGAAGGTAAAGTTATACAATCATATGTTTAATTTTTTTTGTTCAAAATTATTCATTTGACAACATTTCATTTTCAAAATGTATACTGAACATGCAAATATAAGAGATGGGAAGAGATGCAGTGAAATTTGACGAGGTAAATTACAGAAAATGCAGAGATGGGAATGCTTATTTGAAATGAATTTACTTTCTTAATTTTACCATGTGTTTATGTATTGCGCGAAAGATGTGGCACAGGGGTGGTAGATGCAGGTAGACGCATCGATACAGCTGCTGGGACAATGAACTGTCGAATCAATTTTGAAATTGAAAATGTAGAATAAAAAACTATTTAAATTTGTAAAAAATGTTGAAAAACGCGTATTTTAATGAACTGCGAATGAAGTCGTATAAGAAAACAAATAAAAATCTACTTATATTTGAAAAAACATTTAAAATTTTTTGACATATCAATGTTCTAAAGCGTTGATGCATCTACCTGTATTCTTCTACCATGGGTGGTCTAACCGATATCTAAACTTTAATGACAGTTGATTCGAACCCCTTTCTTGCAAATTCATCTGCTGTCTCATTACCTGGAATCCAATGCCATGTTTACGTTAGAACTTTTTGTAGGGTTAACCTACTTTGAGAGGATTTATTTGAAGTAAAAGTAATGGATATGACAATTTAAATCCAAATCCAGTGGGTTAACCCTCATATATATAAACGTACTACAACAGAACTTGATGGACAACTCAGTATTATCCAAAGCTTTTCTGCACTCCAAAAATGCCATGGATTTAATGGTAAAAGAATTTAAAGCCTTCAGTGTCGCTTGTCTACCTACGCTAACTTCACTGTTCCTGTGGCACAGGGGTGGTCCATCCGATATCTAAATTTTAATGACAGTTGATTCAAACCCCGTTCTTGCCAATTCATCTGCTGTCTCATTACCTAGAATCCAACAAAACTTGATGGACAATCCATCCGACGCTAACTTCACTGTCCCTGTTTACGAATAGATCTATGGCATTTTTGACTGCAAAGAAAACCCTAGCACCTGTCCCACATTCCATCTAAAATACTTCATTATATAATAATAACGAGTTTTGCTTTATGATATCGAAATAATTAAAAAATAGTAGATTTTTGCAAGTTCTGGATAGGGGCAATTAATTGTTCAATATTATGTTTTTTGTTGTTCTAAAATGTGCTAAAAACACTACCTATTTAATATGACATGGTATGAATGCCATATGAGCATCAGTTTGCAATATTGCTGAGTCACTTAACAAGGAACTGTCAAAAAATGTAAATATTATTGCGCGGTAAGTAACAAAAGTGTTTTTGTAAACAAGGAAATATTCAGAATCCAAATATTAATTTAACAAGACAATGGAAATTAAGAATTAATTAAGTGGATGTTCAGAACAGAATACGTCCTTTTTATTCTTAGGTGTCCATACGAGAGTGTGGGCTTATGGTAGAGTAATGTACCCATGTAAAACAACGGATGACACAACCAGTGAGAAAAAGTTTGGTTTGTTGTTACGAAATTTTCGAATTGAATTATTGAAAAACAGTAGCTACAAGACGTTTTTTATACCCTACACCACAAGGTGGTCAGGGTATTATGTCTTTGTGCATTTGTTTGTAACAGGCAAAAGGAAACGAGATAGACCCATAGTTCCTTTTGATGATCTGCATAGAATCACTTTCTGAGTTGATTTATGCATGTCAGTCCGTCTGTCCGTTTATTATCCGATTGAGATGAAACTTTGCAAACAACATTTGTTTGGCCCAAGGACGAACCCTATTGAAATTGGAGATAATCGGTAAAAAATTAGATATAGCTCCCATATATATCTTCGTCCGATTTGCCTTTTATTATGCACCAAACGTGTAATATCAGCCCGAATAGTATTTTTTTGCACATACAACCAAATTAGGCCTGAAAATAAGTATGCCAAATTTGATCGAAATCGGTTCAGATATAGCTCCCATATATATTGTTCATCCGATTTGTTGTATTTGTTACCTACAGCCGTAATATTCACTCCGTAACAACGATATTCAGGGAAATATATCAAATGCAGGTCAGAAATACCTTTGCTAAATTTTATCGAGATCGGTTCCGATTTGGATATAGCTCCCATATATATCTTTATCTGATTTCAAATTAATTTTGCACCAAATGGGCAATACAAGTCCGAATTTAAAAGATACAAATGCTTTGGCATATTTAGTCCTTTGAATTTTAAATTACAATTAAAATCACACCGTGTATGATTGAATTTTCCCATAAAAACTTTTAATTATTAAGTGGAGCTCAACTAAATTAGCAAAGTGGTGTAGGGTATCATAAAATCGGCCCCGCTCGACTTTAGGACTTTCTTTACTGGTTTTTAATATGTTTTTTATATTTATTATTTTATTAAAACTAAATGCATATTACATTATAAAGTCTCCTCGCTCTTTTTCTGTTCTTATTTGTTTAAACGGTCCACTTCAAGCATCTCGTATCCTGATGCGTACCCAGACAACGGATACAACAATAACGTGTTCCACAAGCAGTGCAGGAATATTTCGAAAAATTACCACAGACGGCACAAAAGTGTCGCGCCGGTTTCGATGGCGGTGGGGCTAGAGCACTTGTATAATTTGGAGGATCAGGATTCAGTTGTTTTTCTTCATCCAATAGTTGAGCAAAATTTTTGCGATATTTTGCACGATAGTACTCGGGACCTTTACGTTTTGATTTACGATTTTCTTTAGGATTTTTTAGATTATCCTGAAATTTGGGAACTTTCTTTGACATAACCAAATCGGCATGGGGATCATCGTGGAAATTGTCTTGCTCTAGGGCTTCTAAGACTTTGCGGGCACGTCGCTGGCGAGCAGCTTCATCGAGTACGCGTTTCTTTTCGGCATCTTTAATGCGATTCGATTCACGACCAGTCATTTTGAAGGGGGATTTGTTATTGTTTATTTTTTTGGTTAAGATGTTGTTTGTTGTAAACTTCGTTAAGTTTAGGCTTCTTTCTCGTGTAACGGGAAACTGATACGATCCATAAGTTCATCAACACGTGCCTGCAAAGTTTCTACAATATCTGTGGATATGAACAGATGGCTTTCGTCCAAATCTTGTATGATAAATTTACGTCCCAAGGCAAGTTTCTCATCCAAATGTAATAAAAATTGTTTCATAGCAGGATCGCTGGAAAGAAACAAAAAAAATTGTTAATTTGATTTAAATAGTATAAAATATTCTTTGCAGAAAAATTACTTTCCAAATAGCATGAAAAATGTCCAAACGTAAGTCCCTATCGGCTGAAGAAAAACAAATTAAACTTTTGGAATTGTTCCATGAGACCAATGATGTATATCAATTAAAGGATTTGGAACGTATAGCACCTAAAGAGAAAGGTGTGGTCATGCAATCGGTAAAGGGTATTCTACAAGAGTTGGTCAACAATGGTCTCGTGCAATGTGAGAAGATTTCCGGCAGTTTCTATTATTGGTCATTTCCAAGGTAAGAATTCAAAGCTTCCAGTAATAAAATAAGTTATATAAAGTTTTACCGCCTCTTTCAAGTGAAACTTTGAAAAAACTTCAAAGAGAATTACAGGAGGTGGAGGCAAAAACTTGTCAACTACAAAAGAGCATTGATGCGGTGCAATCGAAAGTCCAACAGACCAACAATGCATTGGATGATCACCAAACCATAGAGACTTTGACGAAAGAAATCCAAGACCTTCAAGAGGAAAAGGAAACCTTGACGAAACAAGAAGCTAAATATAGGAATGATATAAATTATGAAGAAATTAAGCAAAAGGATCATGACGCAAAGGTAAGGGAAGTATTATAAATGTATGATAATAATAATAAGTAACAAGACAAAAGTTTGGAATAAGGGCTTGAGATCAAAAGTGGTACCTCAGGGAAAATATAGAATACCATCTAAGGTATTTTATCTGTGGATCTTCAGGACAACTATCTACACGCAATCTTCTGTGTAACAGGACCTCTTAGAGGTGAATATTATAAGAGAATTGTAAGGACTCTTATAAAAGAGTTTTAAGCTCGTTGATTGTTTAAAGGGTCATCTGAAATGTTTCGTGGATTCTGTTGAAGCTTTAATCTTAATATTTTTATGACCATGTTAGCTTAATCGTATTATTATACATATCTTTTGAATGATCGGCAGTTGATTTTCATAATTTCATTGAGCTTTATTTTTGACACAGAACTCCTGTACATAATCTGTCGCCCCTATGGTTTACACACTATAACTCTTAGGCTTAAAATGAGTTTAAGTCCCCTCGGGATCAATTGGAAAACGTTAACATATGATAATCTTGGTAATCTTTTCATTATTTCCAAGATAAATTTAAATCTGGGTTTAGCGATATTTTGAGATCTATATCTCAGGAACTATTCCGCAGGATAAATGTATATCGTTATATACTCTTTAGCAATACTTTTTACCATGCTCCCAGGCTACTTGCAGCGCAACTTCCTTCTGTCTATAGACGAGCTGCACAAATTTTCTATTGTGGTTTTTGTATATTTATCAAATTTGTTAAAGAAGAAAAACTGCACGTGTATTCTGGTGGGTCCTCTTTGAACTAAAAGCAGCAAATAAACAATATTTTGGAAATTCCCATTTACATCAACGGTCCTCATCCCCTTCCCTGTTTTTTCACAGAAACTTCTGGAAGCTGCCAATCGTTGGACAGACAATATTTACATGATTAAGACATGGTGTAAACGTAAATTCGACAAAGAAGAACGTGAACTGAATAAAGCATTTGGAATACCAGATGATTTGGACTATGTGGATACCACTTGATGTTTGTTTTCCTCATGGACATTTACACACACCGCACTCAATCCCACGATAAGCACTTACCATTCAACGAGAACTCCTTTCATTACATTCACCATGATTTATGCAATAAATTCATTACACTCTTTTCTCAGTGGAAAAAGAAAACTCTCGAGTTTTTCTTTTAATTTCGTAGATTTCCTGAAGAATGCCAATGCCGGAATGAAGCATAGGCATAAATGCGTGATGAAAATTAAAATCAAAGCAAATATAAACAGATAGCTTAGGGTTCTAAAAAGTTGAAAAATTCGTTCCAATAGGGTTCTAGAAATACGATTTGCTCTTAAACACAACAACTGTTTGTTCTCTGCAGAATTAAGGGGATTAATGTCGAATATATTTTAGTCTTTATTTATTTTCGCAGACTACATAATTTTAGAGAATTTCACACAACTAATTTACATGATGTGTTATCGAAATGGCTTTGATAGTTATGCTACAGATGCGACATCTATCATTGCCATTCAGTGTGGGTAGAGGGTATTTGGTAGACCTATGCAATTGCTGTGAACTTTGAATATGTTGTTCTCATATGAGTGGTGAGCTGGATGTTGTCTTTGCTAATCATTTTGTGCGTGTTATCGATAACTTTCATTTAATAATCATTTAGTTCTTTATATAATCGTTTTTAAGAAAATATTTTAGCGAAGAACACGCAAAAATCGTGGATTTCGGCGCAATCTCAACTTTAATCGTTAGGTTTTTGAACAAAAACTATAATTGACTGGCTTGGAATCAATGTACAGATTAAACGGCTGAAGCAAGAATCGTGAAATTTTGCATGAGGATCAGTCGTGGTGTGTAGGCTTCAAGTTGGGTTTTTTGGAAATTCGTACTAAAAGGGTCCAAAAATACTAAAATGTACTAATACTTTAATACTTTGTATTGGACAAACGGAATGAGCTAGAATTAGAATGAAATTTGAAATGAGAGTCACTGATTGAGTGCAGTATAGATGAACAAAGGAGTTTTTGGAAATTCGAATTTTTAGGTTACGAAAACTTCCAAAATCATTAAACTTCTAAAATGGCACCATTTGGTATTATGAGAACGTATAGATCTAAAAACCTGGAATTTAGTACAAAAATCAATGTTGGAAAGTAAATTTGATATGCCAAAATGGTTTTGGAAATGTATACTAAGTGTACGAACTATACGAAATTGTACTAAATTTATAAGAATTTGGTTTAGGGTAAACGGATGAAGCAAAAATTTTTTATGGGGGTCAGGTTGGTGGTAGGTTTGTGATAAAGAGGTGGTTTTGGAAGTGTACTACAAGTGCACGAAATTTAGAAAAATGTACTATACTTGATACAATTTAGTATTGGGTGAACAGATAAAGCTTGAAATCTTAAATTTGGTATTAGGATCGCTGTTCATGTGTAGCCGGGTTATATGAAGGTGGTTTCGGAAATATGTACTATAATTGTACGGAAAGTACTGAATGATACAAAACTGGGATTTGGGTGAAGGAATAGAGATAAAATTCTGATATTCGATATTTAGATTACTGATGGTATCTGCATTTGAGATTTGGAGGTGGTTTGAAAAAGCGTTCAAAATTTGTTCTAAATAGTACTAAAATTGGCACTAGGTGAAGGTATAGAACTGAAATCCTTAAATTTGATACTGATGTAACTGTTGGTATCGGTGGTTAAGATTTGGAGGTGGTTTTGGAAATGTGTACAATAATTGTACGAAAACTTCTAATAGTTCAGAATTTGATTTTGGGTGAAGGCATATAACTGAAATCCTATAACTACATAGATGTCACCATGGTAAAATTAAGATGGTAAAGTCATTTCAAATAAGAACTCCCATCTCCGCATTTTCTGTAACTGAGTTTGTCAAATCCAATCGTCACAACAAAAAAAAAATCTTTATTTACATTTATTCGGATATTCAATACTAAGTGGTACTAAATTGGGTATTTGCAGAAGGGATAGAGCTGAAAACCCTAATTTGATAATGAGGTCTCTGTTAGAATCTGGAATTGTGATTTGGAGGTGGGTTTGGAAATTCGTACCATAATTGGTGTGTAGAATAGAGAGATGTAGATTGTTTTGGATATGCATACTAAATGTTACAAAATTTGGTATTGGATGAAGGGATAGACCTGAATTTTTGAAATTTTATATTGAGATCACTGTTGGTTTCTAGCGCTTACGTATGGAAACATTAAAAAAGTTTTGAACTGAAAAAATGTGTATGAGACTACAATGCAATGGTTTTACTAGACCTCAAAATGAAAGATTTTGAAGACTTTTTGTTTTAAAAGGTAATACATTTTCCTATTATTCTTTTTATAAAAGGAAATGCTTGAATAATATATAACACCATGAAAATCTGAAAGTTTAGTACGATTTGTGAAGTTTCGATTAAAAACTTTTGTCAAAGTGAATAAATTGTGCATTTTGAGTACTAAGAAGGCCTAACAAGAACTGTTGGAACGATTTTATAATGTTAAGGAGGACTTTTCGCCGACGAAGTTGCGGGTACTTGCTATTATTTTATACTGGACTTTCAAAGCTATTAATGAGAATTTCTAAGAGTTTTTTTTTTTTTTTTTGTAAAAATCCCATCTACCATGTCGTCTTTCTAAAATCCTTCATCAATTCTAAAGCAACAAGTTACATTTTTCTTGCCAAAAACACATTTAGATAAAACTTTTCAAGAAAGCAATCCTTCCCTTTACCATTTCCTTTTTGAGAAAATACTCCTTCCCATATTTCTTAAAGAAATGAATGGAAAACTCTTATTATGATTTATGTACAAGTCATAATTTTGCCCACTTACAATAGCAGAAGAAGAAATCGGACAATAAACGAATAAATGGTTAAAAAGGCGATTAAATATGGCCTCCAAAAATGGTCGAAAGAGCGATGGACAATTGAATCAGACACACGCACACACAACCGCAAATAGTCCATGAACAACACGAGGACATCTAAGGATTCTTTAGGCGGGGGGTTGTGGTGGGAAACTTGTCAGTTTATTGTTAAAAAGTAATAATTTACCCAAACAACTTTAATAGGACAAAGATGTTTCGCAGAGTTCAAGAATTTGCCCGGTTGAAAGGAATAACAAGAAGGATATAACAATTGAAAAAGCCGAACTTTGTATACTCTATTTCTGAAAAAGAATTTCAAATTAAAAACTCGATGTGAAGTTTTTTTTCTAGCTCAGGTCAACTTTACGTCCAAGGCTTATATAAGGTCGGCCAGTAAACCCAACTGACAATTAAGTTTACTGTGAAAATAAATAATTTTGATTGAAATTCAAAGAGAGTCAAATCGCAAGAGCGTAAAAACTAAAATTATCTAAAATAATGGAAATTCCCATAATATATAATGGACAGTATAGGGTATAACGATTGGAAATTAATTAAAAAAGTATTAAATGAGGAAACAATTTTGAACAATGAAATCAGAATTTATTCCCACCCAGTGATTGTTTACCTTTAAGATTTCCCTTTTTAAAGAGGAATAATTAAATATTCTCCAAACGATTTGAGTTAATATTGGGTTACTATATGTTGCGAAAGGGGGATGTTTTATCTATTGCTCCTTCTGTTATGAGTGTATGACCAGTTTATTGATATGAAATAAATCTTCACTGCCTACTCAGTTAGTTGAGACTTTGACTTAATTGACCAAATAAATTACACACACAATTTGTTTCGTTTCCCAAACTGCGTGAAATAAAATACAATTGATGTTTTGATTTCCCAAAATAAACATAAGGACAAATTCAGCTGCTACGTATATTTCAGGATTTTGAATTGATTTTTGCATGAAAATAATTTTTAAATATTTTCAAAATCATCAATATCGAATAATTAGAAAGAGGTCTCCAATGAGCCGTTAAAAAAAAATATAATCATTTTTCAAGGACTTTCCTTCAAAATTTTTTGATTTTAAGGGACTTCTTGAACAATGATGACGGATACTATAGAAATACCAATTAAAAATTTTTCAAGTATAATTATAAAGAAAAAAATTTTTGATTTTTAGAAAATTTCATTTAAGGACATGAATGAATGTTAAAATAATTTTTTGAGTATTTCCCATCTTAATATTTTGAATTTTTAAGGACTTCATGGCCTAGGGTGGGAAGCTTTTAAAAAATATTTTCGAATATTTTTTAAGGAGTTGTTAATGTTATTCAAGAGTCTTCCTTAAGAGTAATTCCTTAAAAGTTTTGGATTTTTCAAGGACTTTCTGGCCAAAAATTGTGAATTTTTTATTAACATTTTTTTTTAAATTTTTAGGAAAAATTTTTTGTTTTAAGAATATTTACAAGGATATCACATTCGAATTTCCCAAAATAAACATAAGGACAAATTCAGCTGCTACGTATATTTCAGGATTTTGAATTGATTTTTTCATGAAAATAATTTTTAAATATTTTCAAAATCATCAATATCGAATAATTAGAAAGAGGTCTCCAATGAGCCTTTAAAAAAAATTATAATCATTTTTCAAGGACTTTCCTTCAAAATTTTTTGATTTTGCGGGACTTCTTGAACAATGATGACGGATACTATAGAAATACCAATTAAAAAATGTTCAATGAAAATTATAAGGAAAAAAGTCGTTGATTATTAGAAAATTTCATTAAGGACATGGATGTTATACTGATTTTTAAGTATTTCTCATCCAAATATTGTGAATTTTTAAGGACTTCATGGCCTAGGATGGGAAGCTTTTAAAAATATTTTCGAATATTTTTTAAGGAGTTGTTAATGTTATTCAAGAGTCTTCCTTAAGAGTAATTCCTTAAACGTCTTGGATTTTTCAAGGACTTTCTGGCCAAATTGTGATTTTTTTTTTAATATTTTTTCAAAAAATTTTTGTTTTAAGAATATTTACAAGTATTTCACGTTCAAAAATCGTGAATGTTTATGGATTTTTTATTTCACATATTTCAGGATTTTGATTTGATTTTTTTCATGAAAAGTATTTTCAAATGTTTGGAAAATCATAAATATCGAATAATAAATTGTAGAATTAAAACGATATCTTTAATTTGTCATCAAAAAAAAAAAAAATAAATAAATAAATAAATTTAAATTTTTAAAGCACTTTCCTGCAAAATTTGTTGACTTTTGACCAAGGATGGCGGATACTAAATATATTCTTCAAGAAATTTTAGAGCAACTGTAAAGTATTATGGCAATATTTTACAAGGACATTAATCGGAGATTTTAAAGAAATTTTTATGCAAGAAAAATTTAAAAATTTCTC